TGTGTGTGTGTGTGTGCAGGTTACACTCAGCTGTGCGATTGGTGGAGCGTCGGCGTGATTCTGTTCGAGATGCTGGTCGGCCAGCCTCCCTTCCTCGCTCCGACTCCCACCGAGACCCAGATTAAGGTCAGAGCAAACGAACAAACGATTTCTGTGAAACTTGATTGACGGACCCTGAATCAGCAGGTAGGACGTGTTTCTGACGCTGACGACCACGTCGGCTCCAGGTGATGAAGGAGTTGAGCTACGTACAGGTGTAGTAGCTCAGGAAGCCATTGAACTCTCAGCTCAGTGACCCGTAGCGTGAGGTTCTACTGAGGAGCTCAGAAGTTAGTTTTTGACTTGACCCGGTTTATCTGGGTTCTCTTTGGCCCATTTTTAAATGAGGCGATAAGTTCTGACGTGGCATCCGGACTGTTTGCTTCCTGTTACCTGAGCAGCTCTGGACTCACCAGGCTGAAGATGTTTCACACTCCAAACAGAAAACAGTCTACGTGCTCGCTGGTTCTGTTGAGCTCTTGGTGACAGACGGACCAGAACTTTTCTTCCTCTGTTGCTGATGACCTCTGGTATCTTCAGGTGTAACTGAGCTCTACTTCCTGTCTGTGCAGGTGATAAACTGGGAGAGCACCCTGCAGGTACCTGCCCAGGTGAAGCTGAGCCCAGAAGCCGTCGACATCATCGGCCGGCTCTGCTGCTCCGCCGAGGACCGTCTGGGATCCAACGGCGCCGGAGAGATCAAGGCCCATCCCTTCTTCTCCCAGACCGACTTCTCCAGCAACCTGCGGCAGCAGCCAGCACCGTACCGGCCCAAGATCGCCCACCCGATGGACACGTCCAACTTCGACCCAGTGGAGGAGGAGGGCGGCGCCGGCTGGAGTGACAGCGGCGACGGTAGCCGGGCCCTGGACGCACTCTGCTCACCGCACGGGAAGCATCCGGAACACGCCTTCTACGAGTTCACCTTCAGACGCTTCTTCGACGACAACGGCTGCCCCTTCAGATACCCCAAACCCCCCGAGTCCTGCGACGGGCCGCCGGCCGACACCGGGACTGCCGGAGCGGACCCCGAGGAGGAAGAGGAGGAGGAGGATGAGGAGGAGGAGGAGGCAGAGCAGGGCGAAGGATGTGAGCCGGTTTATGTTTAGATCAGCTGCAGACGGACGAACGGCACCACCCGGTGGACGCTCAGATCCTCCCGACCGGGACCAAGAACATTCTGAGCAGGTTTTGTTCTGACGGACTTTAGTCTCCTGGTCCACCTGACCCGGACCCAGGTTCTGCTCGTCTTCACAGCTGCTGCAAAATAAGCTACAAACACATGAACTCAGTTTATTGGCCACCAACAGGGTTAAAGGGTTCCAGACTTCCTGGACTTCAGCGTCCAGACGGACGTCTTCAGAAACAGACAAAGACGTTCTTCCAGGTTCTTCAGACAGAGTTTGTCCACGTTGCAGCGATCAGGTTCACAGTTTGTGTTTCATTTCAGAGAAAAATCAAATGAACCAGAGTTTAAGTTCTGGTCCGGCGTCAGCAGCTGATGTTTCAGTGTTCTTCTGTGTTTGGTTGCTGATATTCTGACGGTTTCTGCTGCAGCTTTTATCTCGTCAGCACCAGAACCTTCGCTGTGGTTCTGGTAAATAAGCAACAGTCGGATCGGATTAGAGAATCAGAGGCGACTTCTTGTTTACCGTCGGCAGGTTTTCACGTCAACTTCTGGTTTCTGCTGAAAAAAAAAAACAACAGATGCAAGAAATCAGAACCGGATCTGAAGTCTGATTAAATTCACTCTAAAGATGCAGAATAATTCTCAGCCAAACATGTGACAGTTCGACGATGTGCAATAAAATAAATACATTTATATAGTTTTCTAAACACTTAATCGCCGTTTAGTCCTGAAATGTACAAATATATCAGCTTCTGTGTTTTTCTCCTCCAGCTGCTTCTGAACCTGGTTCATTTATAAACTTCATTATTATCACGTCCGGTTTGATTTGGTTCCGACATCAAGAGGCTTCAGTGAGTGATGAAGATGAGGATGATGATGATGATGACGACAAAGTGTCCTCAGAACCTTCCTCCTCCTGCGGTCGGGCTGGTTCTGCTGCAGGAGGATCTGGAGGTTCTGGTTCAGAGAGTTGAGGAGCAGAAAGGATCAAAGCGAAGTGAAGCAGGTTCGGCTTCGGGAAGAGAAACCGACTGAAAAGCTTTTTCTGTTTTACAGCCTTCAGCAAAGACTTTGTGTTTGTTTGGTACATTTTCTTGTGTTTATCCAAAGTGTTCTGACTCGGTTCTGCAGCTCTGGGACGCGTTGATCCAGAACAGAGTTTCTTCTCGACAATCATTGGACGGCGAAGTTGTGTTCAGCAGTATTCTGAGTTCCTCTGACGGACCCAGACGTCAGAACTCCAGCCAGTTCTGATGGAAACCGTCGGAGATCCGTTTGTTCTGGTGTTTCTCTGAATGGGCCTTTTCTGACCCGAGCAGCACAATCAGAGCTTCACTCCTATTTTGTGTGTTTTTCACAGACGTCTGTTACCGTGAGCGTCACTCTGACTGTGTTCACATTCAGTTCTGGTTCTGGTTCTGGTTCTGGTTCTGGTTATTAATAAAGCAGAACAATAAACTGGGGATCTGGAGGTTCCTGTTAGTCTCCGTGTTGTTCTGGTTCTGTGATGTTTCAGGAAAAGGAAACGGGGTTCTTCTGTTCTCAGGTTCTGTTTAAACGATGAAGCTGCTCGTTTTTTTTTTTTAGACTGACGTCGGTTTTTCAGATTAAAAGTTTCAGAAACGGACAGAATCTGTTTATCTGATGATGGCTGAACTGGACCGAAACCAGTTTCCTTGGTGTGAACACAGTCGGAGGTGACGTCTGAGGCGTCGTGTTGCTTCGTCTCGTCGGTGGTTCTGGTCCAGATGTTTAACAGACGTCGTCATTCTCACAGGACGAAACGTGAAACTAGCTTTAAACTGACAGTTTGAGAGGTTTCCTGGAGGTTTCCTGGAGGTTTCCTGGAGGTTTCCAGACTGGTGACTGACAATCCGACTGTGTTTTGTGATTCCTGTATATTCTCTGTATTTTGTATTTTTACTGACGAGTCTCCTTCGTGTCTGTTACTGAATTTATATTTATACAGATCCACATATTTTTTTGTATCTTTCTCCTTTTTTTCCAGTTTCTCCTTTTTGTGCTAATGTTAAGAACTTCACAGTATTACGGATGTAATTCGGACAGTTTTCTCTTTTTTTACTTCCATGTATGAACTGAGAATTTGTAAAAAATACTTTGACTGTCCTTGTGTGTAAAATGTCTGTATAAATTAAATTAACCAGCTCCGACTGCAGCGTTTCAATGACTCCACGTTTATATTCAGTATTTCAGCTGCATTGAACACATTGAAAAGATATTTTTTCATCTAAAGAGCTAAAACTGATTTAATATAAACAGTTAATTGAATGTACATTAGGGCTGAATCTACATGAACTCAAAGTCAGAGTTAAATGAAACGATGGAGGAGGAACGATGATGAATAACAGCTGAATGGACAGAAAGACCTGAGAGTTTATTTAGAGACACTTGAACTTTAAAGTAATTTAAGGACGTTTAAAAGACTCAATTTTATTTGTTCTTCAATGTAAAACATTTTCACCTTTAGAGCAAAAAAAAATAAAAGAATTCACCAGAATGCAGGAAATCAGGTGTTTGGTTCTGGAAGCGACGCCTCGATCGATTTATTCTGATACGAGAAGTGCTGCTGAAGGAGCAACACATTCAGAGGATTGTTCAGTTTGAACAAGCGACACCTTAGAAACCTGAATGTTCAATCCTGTGAAGATGCGTCTTCAGAACCACGACAGATTCTCTCCTTTTATTGTCAGTGAAGCTGATCAACAGTCTCTTTGTGCCAATTCAATTCATCCATCCATCATCTCTACACCTTAATCCTCACCAGGGTCATGGGGGGCTGGAGTCTATCCCAGCTGACTCAGGGTGAAGGCAGGTTCACCTGGACAGGTAACCAGTCTATCACAGGGCTACACTTAGAGACAGACAACCAAGCACACTCACATTCACACCTACAGACAATTTCCATCCATCCATTATCTATACACCGCTTAATCCTCATTAGGGTCGCGGGGGGGCTGGAGTCTATCCCAGCCGACTTAGGGCGAAGGCAGGGGACACCCTGGACAGGTCGCCAGTCCATCGCAGGGCCACACTGAGAGACAGACAACCAAGCACACTCACATTCACACCTACGGACAATTTAGAATCACCAATTAACCCCAACATGTTTTTGGACTGTGTGGGAGGAAGCCGGAGAACCCGGAGAGAACCCACGCTGCACGGGGAGAACATGGAGACTCCACGCAGAAAGATTCCGGGTGTCCTCACCGGGACGTGAACCGGCAACCTTCTTGCTGCGAGGCAACAGTGCTAACCAACTGCGCCACCTTGCAGCCCTAATTAAATTCAATTAAATTCAATTTTATTTGTATAGCGCATATTTACAACAACAAGTCATCTCATAGCGCTTCACAAAAGCAGAAACACCCAACAATCCTAAACATCTGGATTCCCTATAAGCTTCAGCAGTCCGCAACAGTGGGAAGGAACCGAAAACCCCCACAGGGGAAAAAAAAACCTCAGACAGAACCAGGCTCAGGGAGGGACGGCCATCTGCCTCGACCGGTTGGGTGGATGTAGGATCAATTATAAAATATAGTTTACAGTTAAACAAGTTATTAGAAGTTATTGTCCTTTTGTAACAGGAGGCATCATGGTGGGGCAGCAGGATACAGAAGGTGAGGCCAGCGGCTGTAGTTCAGGAGCTCCAGATCCAGAGACATCCACAGAGAGAGCAGGCGCAGGAGAACCTCGGGGGGAGTCACAGAGTTAGTCATATGTAATGGTGATAGGCAACTATAGAAACATATACATACATATATAAAGAGGAGAGGAGAGGAGAGAAGCCCAGTGCATCATGGGAATCCCCCGGCAGTCTAAACCTACAGCAGCATCACTAAGGGACAGCTCAGATGATTCCCAGCAGCCCTAACTATGAGCTTTATCAAAAAGGAACGTTTTTAACCTGATCTTAAAGGTAGAGAGGGTGTCCGCCTCCCGCCAACAACTCAACACAACCAGCAGGAGGTTTACTATAAACTAGCTGTTGCCAAGTCCAGGACACAAAACTACTACAAGCACACAAAATGACCACAAAGACAAGACAGAAACTGACCAACAACAAAAAGACCACAAAGAGACACAACATGTGAACAAAACAACCACAAAGAGACTCTCATTACCGCAGAGATCTGAGAGTACCACAAAGACACACAACACTGTTCCCCCAAGTTACACACATTTGGCTCAAATAGACACAAAACAGCAACAACAGGAATTAAACACACAAACCAACCAACAAAAACACAAACTAAAAATCACCACAGACAAAATGACCACAGTGGAGTCGTGCGTGGATCCCGTTTATGATTGTTAATTACATATTATGACGCTATAATCTGATGTGAGGATCTTCTGATGAAAATGAAACTTTGACCTGCTGGTGGCGCTAAATCTGGAAACTCATCAGTGACTGAATAACTTGTGTCAGACGCACAGAAAACGTTCAGGCTTCGTGTTTGGATGTTGACTCCGCTGCTAGTGACTGAATCCAACACAAAGATCAGAGCTTCTGACGCTGAACAAAAACTACACAACTTTTATCCAACAAAACTCCCCAACATCAAGTCAGCAACTGTTACACACAACAGGAACAGACGTTACACACGGCTGCCTTCAAAATAAAAGCACGAGTCTGGCGGAACCGTCTGCTTTGTAAATAAAATCACACTTGGACAGTGAAGCTGCTCTTTGGAGTCCTGATGATTGAAAACGTGTTGAGCTGCAATTAAAAAAAGCACAAATCAATAGAGGGCAATGAGCGTCAGATACAGTCGCCAGGATAAAACTGATCATCGGTTTAATCCTGTCGACTGCAGCGTTTGTTTTAAAGTTAAATCTTTGCTCAGAAAACAGCAGAGAAGCAGTTTGAAGAGCCTTCTCCTGATGTCTTTAAATGATTAATTTACTGATGAAACAAAGACTGTGCTGATGTGAGCTGCAGCTGATAAAGAGACAAAGGAATGAACATGATGTGGCAGCAGCTCTGTGTGATGGCCTCATTTAAACGTGTCAACATTTACACATGAAAAGTGATTTAATTATGTGTTCAAATGTGCATCATGAACAAAACAAAGAATTAAGGAAATGTTTCACATTTTTAGTCATCAGAGTGAAACAACAACGTGATGCTACTTAAGCTTTAACTCTTTATTACTTAACATAAATATAAATATATAAATAAAATGAAAGCAGTTTTCCAAAACACAGATTTTCAACAAATGAGCTCAATGTGAATTTGAAAAAAAATTAAAACATTTCAAGTCTAAATGCTGTATTTTGTACTTTAAAGATGAAAATTAACAACAAATTTGTAATAAACCGAGTTGTGTGGAGAATCTGTGGCTTAGATCTGATGGAAACAATAAAATAAGTTTCAACCAGATGTGTTAATATTGAAGCTAGTCAAGTACCTGTAATAT